GGAAGGGGGGGGGGATGGGGAGGAGGGGGAGGAGGGGGGGGGGGAGGAGGGGGAGGAGGAGGAGGAGGGGGGTCTAACGGTAGAGGCCTGATGACGTCCATGTTTCCAACCACACCGATCGCGATGGATGGACCTCGGAGGCACATGCATGGTGTGAGTGACAATGGTAGCGGTGACGGTATCAATAGTCTGAGGTTAGCCGAAGAAATCGGTGTGGTGGCCAGAAGAGAAGAGCAACTAGCCGGAAAAGGGGAGCCGAGCGGGAGGGGGCTGATAGCCTCAACGTCTTCAAACCCCATGGAGGGGATGACCAAGCCTGAAGAAGAGAGATTCGATGCAGGGTACGGCAGTGGCTGGGGCGACGTCGGAAGTTTCAGGCCGAGAGGAATCGAAAGCTTGGCGTCAGACCGAGGAGGAGATTGGAACAGGGGCGGGCCCAGTGGCCGGGGGTTATTGTCGGGCTCTTCACTAGCCCCGATCAATACTTCCCACAAGGGTCCCCGCGACTGGGTTGCTTTGACGGAGACAGCGACGAAAGGCGAGGAAGATGACAAGGAACGGTGATCTGGGAAAAGTGCTACCAAAGGATTCTCGACCGACGGCGGGGGCGGGTGATCGCTCGCGAGATCCGCTGAGTCTTTTTAGAAGCTACGTCGTTTAGTATTGGGCGTGGTTTGGGAGGACCCAGCGATGGCGGAAACCTGGGAGAACAAACCTTAAGAAAAGCAATCTCTCGGAATATTTACCACAACGCCTACACCCACGGCTGGGCATCGCTCTCTTCGTCAAGTTGGAGACCCTGAAGCACCAGGACAAACGCGTGGATGTCCAAACTAATCTCTGCAAGGACTAGACTATGTAGTGTAGAGCATATTAAAGTTTTGTGTGCGCCTCCTGCGAAGTGGAGGAGGTTTAAATTGAATCGAAATTTTCCGCAGGAGCTGTATTGTACTTTTTCTCCTCGCGAACAGTGTCCGAAACGCCAACCTGAGGTTCACACAACGGTGATACCGTAGCGAAGGGGTTTAATGGGGGTGGATCGACGGGGTGGGGAATTGCGGTTCCCGCCACCATGAAATACATGGCATGGGGCTTCGAAAAAGGAGTGTCTTGGGCGAGAATCAAAGCAAGTACAAGAGCTTGTTTTATTGAGAGTGTACTGTGATTACGGGAGTATAGGGGGCAGGAGCAGCCCATTCGAGCGGGAAATGCGTTCTGTACTAGCGCCTACATGCGGGTCGTAGAAGACCCCTAACTGTGTGCTGCTGCAATGGGTGTTGGCCGCACTTCATCGGTCGAAACGTCACGAAATAGCGAGCTAGACTACTTTTAGGTCTTCTGGTTCTTCGCGAAACGCGCGGCGGCAAATCCTGGCCCCTCCGACCATGTTGACAATTGAAAGCGGGGGCGGGTGCGCTTATTTCGGTAAAGAAGTAGGCGTTGTACGGAGCAGGATGCAGCAGAGACTTCAGAATGCTCAGTGGGATGCACAGTTCAAAATTTTTCGCCTTGCTGAGGTCCATGCATAGCACGCAGTTTCTATTTGAGTTGTGTTCGTAGTAAGAGTGGATGCAGAGAAAGAGAGAAAGACGAAGAACTTTCTCCTTCGAGATTTTGGTGTGTAGTTGCGCTCCCCGACTGTTTTGTTGCGTTCTTAAGAGCTTACTATCCATTCTTCGTCTCCGACTTTCAGAACCTTCTGGTTTTGCCGTTGCGCCCGAAGCACCATGGGTGAGATCCCGTGTAGCGATATCCTCGCGTTGGCAATCCATTCTGGTCTAACCGAGTGCATCTGCTCAACATTTCTATCAATAAGCGGCTGTTTTCACTCTACACAGATCGGTTTAGCTTGTGGCAGCAAGTAGGAGCAGTATCTGACAGAACAGGCTCCGGCTGTTCTTCATGGAGTTTATCATTTCCGTCTACAACGTCTTGGTGCCTGCGCCCCACCTTGTGAGTTTTTCCCCACTAGCCGATTCTCGCCTGCATCGCCAGTTTCAGCGCCTTGGTTTAGGAGTACTTCGAAAGGTGAACGCTTTGAGCACGCGCCGCACGTATTCCATCCCTTTATTCGGATTGTTTTTTCATTGGTCAAACAAGGTCCGTAATTGTCAGTCCGAGACCGCTCCAGCAGCCGAGTTCGATGTCGCCCTTTTCGACGTGGTGACACCGTTGGCTAGGTGGTGCATGAGTTTGGAAGGCAACTGGTACTGGTATGGCACTACCCCCCCGCCCCGTATATCCCTTGGCTGCCGCCCTGCGCCCAGCCAGGTGGAGGCTCCCAGGTGCTAATCCCCAGCCTCTGATTGTAGTAAAAAACCATGTCCGCATCCTCCACCACCTCCCAGCCATCCCCGGATTCGTCGTTGCTGTGGCCCGTCGTCAAGGCCGAGGCTCCCAAATCGGTCGCGGCAAATGACTGTTCGTCGTTGCCACCTACACCAGATGTGTTCTCTGAGTCCCAACCTTGCGCGCCAGCTGCTGCTAGTCGAGCCTGGGAGGCCTCCCTTCGCGGGGTCCGTGGGGTCGCCAACAGCGCAGACCGAGGAGAGAGACACCACCGCGCTTCCCCCATTTGGGCGTGGTGGAAGAACGTGAACAAGGGACGGGACGTGGATGATCCGCCACTACGTGAAGCATCCGGCACTACCTCCCCCGCCGTGGCTGTGCCGTCCACTTCCGCAGCGGCGGCGGGCGTGGCCGCTCGCGGACTATCCCCTGATGGTCCTTTCACGGTGCCGCCTTCTTTACAGGCACTACCACCCCCTCGAACGAAACCATCTTCTGCTACGGCAGCAAAAGCTGCCTCAGTAGGCACTGCTGCCTTCAGCTGGCACCAGCCTGCTCGCCCGATGTCGCAGACCTTTTCTGACCTGTTCAGCAGCAGGCCCAAGTCCTGCGTCTTCAGCCAGGCTTCTCCGGAGGCGCGGTCGACGAAGACCAACCCCAGCTCCGGATGAACTACAGCTACGCCATCTGGTGACCCAGCACCACCTTCGGCAGTGCCCCCGGCAGCAACGCCTTCGTTGCCAAGTGTGCTGTGCGTGCCCACGCTTCCGCCACCACCAGACCCCCCCGCGAATGAACCCGGGTTCCCCTCGTTGGATCCCATGTTCTCAGGAAAGCATGGGAGTAGTCCCAACAGCGGCGGATTGCCCCCCCAGAAATACTCTGAGGTCTTCGCGCGGTACCAGCACTTGTTCTTCGTGGTGCCAGGAGACGGGAGCGAGAACCGGCTGTCCGTGCTCACGAACCCCCACTCCCTCGCAGCCGCCAGAGCGAGCAAGGTTTGGTCCGCAGCGCTCTCGACGCCCTTCTCGTCGCCGCCGTTTGACTTGGTGATGCTGTAGCTGGCGCTGATGGTGGCAATGTTGGCGACCACGTGCCGGAGAAACCGCTCCTCTTCCTCCGCAGCGCGGGTGGCCTCGCCGGTGAGCTCCACCAAGCGCTTCCGGAACCTGCTGCTGACGGTGTCGACTCCAAGCTCTTCGTCCGCGTCGGAGTCCTTCGAGGAGTTGGCGGTGCCCGGTCTGTTCGTGGCACCACCACCGCTGCTTTCCTCGAAGAGGGAAATCTCGAGAGGCTTTACCCAGCGGATCTCTTGATTCCAGGTGTTGACGTAGTACACGTCGCCCGTGGCAGCGTCCTGATTTCGTTTGGGATCACGTGGATGATGTTTAGACTATCTTATTGACAATTCGCCCTGCTGAATTCTGGCCAGACACGGTCGGAATATACGAAGTATGGTTCTTATTGATTCCGTAATTCCGCTTCAAAGAAATAGAATCAACAGCTTTGGATTTTTTTTTGAGATTGTCGTCCTTGGAGGCATCATGGAGCGCTGTTCAAGACGAGATGATATTGCTGCTGTTTTCCCTTACCTCGGATTCAATCCAGTAGTCCCGATACCACGAGTTGATCGCTCTCCTGACTCTCCACCCTCGGAAGATCCTCTGGATGGTGATCGACCCGCTCCGTTCGGACCGAGCCTGTCAGACGTGCAGGTCAGTAGAATCGTTATCGCAACCAGAAGCACATACTGTTGTATCTTGAGTACCAAGGTCTATATCTGTGGACGCGAGTGCTATCGAGTCACCCACCTTCTTCCGTAGCCTCGCCGTGCGCAGCAGCTTGACCTTCTCCACGGTGCCCTTCCCCAGCGGGATGAGTTCTCTCTCCGTTTGCCGAAGAACGCGAGTGTTGTGTCTTTCCTTCACCTGTAAACATTGGCAACGCTAGGTGCTTAACACGTGGTTGACCGACTTGCGTGTGGCGTTGTCCCGGGAAAACGAAACCCGCCAACATTTTTTGGACCCTTTTCTTTTGTCTAAGCGATCTGGTTGTAAAATGGACAGCATATAGGAGGTAGCGTGTAGACGCCAACGATGGAAACGACTCGCAACTTACCAAACAACGCACCCGTTGGTTGTAGCGAAACGCATTTTCACAAGCGTTTTGATTTTCGTTTTCTAGAGGTAGTCTACACAGCAGACGTGGACAACGTAGGTGAGGCTGCGGTCGAAGTGGAGAGCGCCTGATGTAGCCTCTAAGAGCGCCCGTCATACCCGAGGTCACCAGCTGTTTGGCCCCTACTCTTAGAAGCTGGGTGATGATAGAAAGTCTCGGCTCCCTCATACCTCAATCTCAATCGTTTCGGCGTCGAGCTTCTCCAGACGTTCCTCGACGTTTGCCTTCAACTCCACCAGCCGCACTTGCAAGAACTTGGTCAAAAAGCGCTGACGGCACCCGTTAATCTGTTCGTGTCCGCCCAAATGTGGAGCGGGTCGATACCAAAAGCACCCAGCATTGTGGGCTTAATTGAAGCCGCCTGTGTCTTGCGAAATTCACCCTCCGGTTGTTGTAGCCAATGTAGAGATTGACGCCAATTTTGGTCGGATTCTTTTCGGGATTTATCGAGCAGGGCATCTCTCCCATAGAAACTGAGATGTTTCTCACATGTAATACTTGAAAAGGATGACTTCTCGAAGTCCTTTTATTGACGGAATTACGTATCGGAGAGTCACATTAATGTTGCCTCAAAATTCGCATCCAACCGGTTTTTTTTTTTTATCTTCACTTCAAATCAGCGCTCACAGCACTAGTGCCGTTCACTCCAACCCGTGGTCACACAGAAGAGCTTCTCTCTACCCTCCCCTTCTGCGGTACTAACGATTGTGCGGGACAAGAAAAAGGGTCCACGTGGCTGCTAGCAACTTCTGCTTGCCCTTTCTCGACGTGGCGCGAAAAGCAGCGAATTCGCCGTAGGTGTGAAGTTTCGCAAGCGTGGCTTCGTCCCTGATTCACAACCTCTTGTTTCCCTCAAAGAAATTCCCCAGGGGCCTCGAGCTTGATCCATGAGCACATCTTCGCTGACCGTCGGCCAGTCATGGGGACGCACTCACCTTGTCGCTGTCGGTGTACTTGTCCGTGGTGTGCCGGATGTGGAACAGTTCCTCGCGGATGGTAACGTGCTCTGCTCGAAGGGGTTCGACAGCCGTGACCACGAACCGTTGGCGTTCGGACAGCTTCGCGGCGTTTTGGGTGAGCTCGTCCAGCTTTAGCTGCAACGGGGTAGTCAGAATATCGAGACACAATCAACACAGTCACCAAACGTCTTTGCGTGTAGATGCTCAAAATAAACGAGCGTCAACGCTGAACCAGCATCGAAGTGTTCGAAGCGCCTGGGGTAATTAAAAAACTACGGTATCAGCAAGGGAACGGTCCATCCTAATTAGAGGAACAATTTGTCAGCCATTCTTCGTAAAAGTAGTACAAAAATTCGTCGCGTATTGAGCTGCATATGTACTACTGTTCAACAATTTCGGCGCGACGTACTTAACGGCAAGTTCATCCGCTACAGCATATGTTCTTCATTTTTAAGGAATGCACTTATTCGATAAAGTTCGCTACATACCACCACGATAAAATTGACGTGAGAAACAGGGCTAGCAGTCCACGAGACAGTAAACGAGTAACCCCTCGAAAGCAACGCCGACTCTACCCCTCTGCTCGGCTTACCAAGAGCGGGCGCGCCTTGCTCTCGAGAGCCCGTAGGTGCTGCTTGCACTCGAACCTTTCCCTTCCCTGGCGTATTCATATGAGCGAAGCAGTGCATCAACCGCGAAGGCCAGATAACACACACAGGAAAGGGGTTGTCAGCACACACAGGAAAGGTTTGTGGCAGTTTGCATGCACCATCTTGTCGTCGTGTGTTTGAGTGGAAACGTCGTCGTGGGCCGCCGCCGTCGCCGGGCCCCGACGGTCAGTGTGAACGCCACCGGTGAGTGAAAAAAATCTCGAGGCGCCGGTATACCACTGCCCCTGCCGCGAGGGTTCTTTTTCGCCTTCGTTACGGTTGTTGAACAAGTCAGATGACGACCGGGATGAGAGGGGACGACCGCGGCGCCAGCCGACGAAGGAGAGCTCGGGGTCTTTAGAGGCCGAAATCAAACCGTTAGACTAGTCAGCGAGTATCCAGGATCTCAGAAAAAAAACACCTGAGGTGCCTTCGTCTCGAACCCACGACGTGTAACTTTCTTAGAAACCGAAATCAAATCATTGGACTCGTCTGAATACGGCTTCTAAAGGTCCATCGATCACGTTTGGGCCTCCACGCGCGGGCAGAACGCTGCGGGTAGCAGTAGCTGGGGACAGAGTGCAGGTGCGGGGGGAGAAGAACGCCAGAGTAGCCGTTCGGGGGAGGAACGAAGGGAGCGTGGGCACAGCCGGGCGGCGGCGGCGGCGCCGAAACGCATCGCGTTCTCTTCTTGTGTTCCGCTCTAACTCGTTTCCCTCCCGCTCTCGTTCCCCCTCGCGTTACACTGTACCGCCAGCTCACTACCCGAAGGTGGAATCGAAACTGATGGCGTTCGACGTGCAGAGGACCTTCCAATAGTACATGGGTCAACGCCTACGCCGTAGGC